ATATGCATTTTCAAGATTAAGCATGTGCAAATGTATTGACAAATCGAGCACATTTTCAAACTTGGAGTTTTTTTCATCTCATTGTAAATCACATAATTTTTTCTAAGTTTTAGTTTGCAACTTTCAACACTTGCAAATACATGCAATTCAATGTACAAGTTCAGATAAGTATCAGCTAAATGGTTCGAAAAAAAAATTACCTAAGAAATCATGGACAGTTTTTCACTCACTTTTTCTGTTCCTGATGTCCAATTCATGTAGCGAAATTGAGGCAAATCTCTTGATCTTGTTCAATTTCACTCATTTTTTGTTAAATCATTTGCACTGCTCGTTCAGCTTCCCATTCTTCACTGCATTCAAAAGTGAGTGAATTCTGAATGAATTCATAAGTTTCATTTTACTGAGATAGCTAAAGAAACCAAACTTAACTGAAGACAAACTTTGGTCCACAATACAGACAAAAAAAAAAAACAGACAAGTTAAAAGGTGTTCAAATCAAGTTTAATACATACACAAAAAGAAATTCAAAAATTCAAAATTCTTTTTAAAATATTTATACTAAATTGTAATAAGCTATTCCATTTCTGTCCTGGGTATGACGATAAACTACATCCACGTCCTGGTTAAGACTATAAACTATGTCCAACAGCAAGGCCTCTGATCAGGAGGTTTTGAGGAGCATGGAACCACCTCTTAATTGCTGGTGTTCCCAGGTCCATTGTGACCCAGGGTGGTAGCACGTGTTACGGTCCCAGCTATAGGCCAATAGTTACCCCCAAACTGAGGTCAAAACACTATGAAACTTAAATAGGTTTTAATACCAGAAATACTTTGTAAAAAAAAGTTATTACCAGCAATAAGTTTTTGAAGAAAAAAAAAATTAGAGATATACGTTTTTGAAAAAAAAAAAAAAAAAAAAGTTACAAACAATGGATTTTTGAAGAAAAAATATTACCAGAAATAGATTTTTGAAGGAAAAAAAAAAAAAAAAAAAATTACCAGCAATAAAAATCTTGTCAGCATTAAATAACCCATTGAGGTTGATTTGCCGTGAAACACAACAAAATATTCCATTTATGCTTAGTAAAAATAATTTTTACAATAACACCCTAACCTCTACAAACTAAGACAGAATTTTAAAAGATTTAAAACTTTTTAAATAATTAAAATAAAAAAAATTAAGATTCTTGTAAAACTTCATTATTTTCTTAAGATAATAGTGTCCATGATATATCTTATTCATGTAAGTAATTAAATTAAAAACTTTTCAAATTAAATAATGTCTTAATAATTGCATTTTTTTTTTTTATTTTATGACTCAGAGCAGATTTTCTGTAACTGTGGGCGATATTATAAAAAGAAATTAGCGATTTAAATTCTCCAAGGCTTCAAATTTCGGGGTGTGTGTGTGTGTGTATATATATATATATATATATATATATATATATATATATATACACACACCCAAAAATTTATTAAAATAGAAACATTTGTAAAATAATTTATGAAAAAGTCCTAAAAGTTTAATTAAAATCTGACAATTCTTTAATTTTTGCAAGGCTTTACAAATCAATGCATTATTCACTTCAAAAGAGACACTGAAATTTCCTATTGATCCCATCCAAAAAAAAAAAAAAAAAAAGTAAACAAAATTTTGAACATTCTTAAAATTTATTATAGGTCCCTCTAAAAATTCAATAAAAAATGCATACAATGATAAAAAGGCCCCAAAATTTCTAAGAACAAAGTTTTATCATAAAAATATTTGTTATTATTAAGAATAAAGACCAAAGTATTTCTTTATTATTTTCTTAAATTTCTTAATCCTTTCTAACACATTCAAAATTTTACTTAAAAAAGTTTGCATCAGCAGGTGGACCAAAAGATTAATCTGGGAAATTTAGCATCTTTCTTTTTGCAGTAAAAACACATTGTTTTGGAAATTCTTCTGAATCATAAAATAAAAAATACAACAGAACCAAGACATTATTTAGAAAAGCTTTTAATTACTTTTATATTAAGGACCCTATTGTCTGAAATAAAAAAAGTAGATTTTTTTTTTGATGAATAATGAATTTTTACAAGAATTGTTTTCATAAAAATAATTATATTTTAAATTCTGTATTAATTTCAACCTTTTAGATGATATTAAATAAAAACTACATTTACTAATCATAAATAGAAAGCTTAGTACAAATCATCAAACACCAATACTTTAAAAAGAATTTTTTATATGTGTATAAACAAGTTGACTTTTGTAAATACAGATGCCCATATATCACATTATCAGAAAATAAAAATAAGTTAAAGCCAGAAACCATCTAAAAGTCAATAAATATTAGGTTACAAAGAATATTTTCTTAAATTTTTAAGATTACTGAGTATGTAAAAATTATATATAAAAGCATTTATGGCTACCCCACCCCAGAACATTAGATAAACATCTGTCAAACATGTCAACAGCTTAAACAATGACAAAAAAATGCATTTCGGCAATATTTTAACCTTAAAGTAAATATGCATTTCAAATCAGATTAATTATACTTTAAATCAGATTATATTCCTCAAATAAGTCTTGATTGCATCCAACCAGCCCTATTAATCATTTCACCCCAAACAAGGCAATAAAGCTACAAAGATTATAAGGGGTTACTGAATGTGAAAGAATATGCAAAAAAAAAGAAATGTTATGAAAGAAAGAGAATATATATTACACACAATGATTGAAAATTAACTGACCTTTTTAAAATATCTATAATTTATTTATTAACTATAATTTTTACAAGAAATGGATATGAGAGGAAAGCATTTAACATGAGGTTTTATTTAAAATATGATAGGGGCACCAGATTTTGCTACCAACTTCAAGCTGCCCAGGAATCATGTCAATTGATTATACCAGGAACTCTTATGGCATGGAAAACAACTTCATAACTCTTTAAGTTCTTCCAAAGTCTTGGTTTGGTATAGTATATTTGCTCCTTTTAACCAATTCCAAAGAAAGAAGCCATTGAGTATTAAGTCAGGACTCCTGGCTGACCACACACATATATAAAATAGGTAGTTACTTTTTAGTCACTCTGTATACATTAGTAGAGATGCCCTTTAAAATATAAATATAATACCAGATATTGTTTCTTTTGGAAAGTATAGATCAAGTAAAAAAAAAAAAAAAAAAAAAGTTAAACCAGTTTAAACCGAAATTAAAAATGTTTAATCATCAATTAAAGTTTTAAAAGGGAGTTAAATTGCGCTATACACTTAACTGGAAGCTTGTTTATATAAATTTTTGATTAGGACTAGCCAGTTAAGTGAATTTTTTTTAATGTCCAATGAAAGATTTATTGGAATAATAAATAAAATAAAAATACGAGACAGAGAAGGCAGGAACCATCCATCCACATGCATGCATGAAGGCTTTCATTTTTAATTCAGATCTAAAGAGATAAGGTTTTATTTTGAAATCATTAATATGAACCTCAGGTATAAATTTGATACTACCAATTTAATTCCGTATGAATTTTCATAGAAATCTGATAGGTGTATACTGACATAACAATATCTATTAGAATGTAGACTACTAATCAATTAGTCACCTGTTATTAAAAATCAATTCAACTGTTTTGTTTACTATGGCTTATCAACCTTTTTCAGGTTACTTAAAGCCATAAAATATTTTTTTTTTTTTTTTTTACACTGTAACAAGTTTTTTGGAGACAACAATGATTTAGTGATACAAGTTTTACTAATTAACCCATAGCTGGGAGAAGAAGTGGATTAATACTTTTCCCAAGGGTATTTATTTGCACATAAGTAAATATAACAAACCCGACTGAAATTTGAACTTGACTCTCCGATTAACAATTCCAAGTCATATATTATCCATTATATCACCTGCACATCCAAGCTTACAGTATTTGGTATTCCCAAGCAAACACCCATGTAGGTACTGACCAAGCTTGACATTGCTCAACTTCAGGGATCATGCAGGAACTGGGGTTTCAATGCAATATGGCTGTGAGCCACATTATTTAACCTTTAGCACTCTATTCATAAGTATTACTTTTTCCACTATATATAGTGGCTCCTCAAATACATGACTGTTTTTTGCTGTTGCTATAGCAGGATGTGACAAAACAATTGTGAAATTAAAATGTACTGTTATTTGGCAATTAGAGTCAACTGCAATGGCAGGACAAATGCTTTCCTTGGTGTCTGAAGTTGCCTAAAGAGTGCTTAAGGTTAAAAGGATTTGTGGTTGTATATAGAGAAAGGAGATAATCAGCGTCTACCTATAGATTGAAGTCATTTTTACTGTCTTTCCTATATAAATAATAACAATATTAAGTAAGAAGTTTTTCTGGAACAGGTATCATTTACATTAAATGCTAAATAACATCTTCTCATCTGAACTCTTGAGACGAGGAATTATCAATTATACACTGATTGAAATAGATTAATCTTTTCATCTTGGTTGTTCTAATCACAAGTCATTTCAAATAAGAATAAATACAGCAATGGCAGGTGTACTTCTATAGAATACTTAATTCATTCCCTTATCTGGAACATGTATGCAGAGAGATTGTGATTTGTGATGTAGATGGATTTCAACAGTGCAAAAGCTAATTAAAAAAAAATCTGTTGTATATGTCACACAAAACAGGCAATAAAAAGGTAATATATGTAGAAATATTCATTTTGTACAAGCCATGTTGGAAGAATTTTCACAACTAATTGACCAATTTATTTTTTTTATGGCTCATCAACCACTTTAAGGTTATTTAAAGCTGAAACATTTTTAGATTATAAATATTTTAAGGGAGATAATTTTCTGATACAAGTCTTACCATTTAATCCATAGTTGGGAGGGGAAGGTGGATTCATACTATTCACAAGGATATTTGCATATAAGTGAATATAACAAGCCCACATGGAATTTGAACACAGCTCTTCAATTTCCATTCCAAGCAGTTTTCCATTACACAACTCAAATATCCAAGCTTACATCACTTTGTATTCCCGAGTGGTCACTCATCTAGGTACTGTCCAGGTTCAACGTTGCTTAACTTCAATGATCAGGTGAGAAACCCGGTTTCAACCTGATATGGCCACAAATCTCTATTGCAACTAAGTTTTACTATTGAAGACATTTAAGCCAGTTAATTTGACATGTGAACACTAGGATTATTTAATGTTTTTTTTGTTTTTGTTTTTTAAGGACACCCAGTGACGATAAAAGCTACAGGGAAGAAAAATTTACCAGCATTTTTAATTATTAAACTTCACAACTATCATAAAACTCAAAAGATCTTAATCTGAGTAGCAACTGTAAAGTGTATAGCATACTTTAACCAGTTAAATAAGTATTTGTCTATACTTTAAACACAAGTATTCATGTTCAGAGACATAAAATATCATTCTGTCTCTTTATTATGACTCCTAAGTACCTTATGACGATGAGTAAAGACTTTCTATTTATAAATCTGCTTTTATTATGTAATCCAGCTATTTAAAACAAATTCAGAGCCAAGGACAGATGAGACAGTTTGAAAGGATTTATACCATGTGTTTATTAGAGCTTTACAACTACAATACAAATTGAATGAGATTGCAGCTATTTTCCAGATTTTAAGGGTTGAGTTTTCTCATTGAATCTTCAGTTAGATCCATTCCAGTCCAAAAGTACAAACATCTGCAGTAGTGGGCACTAGCCACTGGGGCAGATGTAAAAGTAAACATAATTCCCAAAACAGAATTTGTGCAATTGACAATATTATAGATATGATAATATAGATAGTAATTTAAAAATGTTCTTATCCTAAAGAGATTACTGTTACCAATTGGTTAACAATGACAAGCAGAGACTAACTCTAGAAATTCACTTTGTTGAATTGGTCACATTTGGGGGAATCAGAAAGCTAAAAAAAAGGTGCAATTGAAAAGAATCACTTTTTAAGTTGGGTGGGATATAATATCAGTCGTGGATAAGTATCCATAGAAAGAAGGGTAAAATTTCCTAACAAAAACAATGGAATTGTGTTTTGAAAAGAAATTAATGGAGAATTTAAAGATATGATAAAATTAAGAAAAGAAAAGAAAAAATACAATACCAGATTAAAACAAACAAAAAATAGAAAGAGAAAAAGAATATTTTTTTTTTTTGACATAGCAATTAATTTTACCTAGAAATATTTGTTAACTAGTTGAAAACTTCTTCAGTTACCTCTCCAGAGTACAACTGGTATACAGTCAATCATTCCATATAGATTAACCTACCTTCAAAAATTGGTTGGTTGGTTGATTGATTGATTTTGTTTAGCAGCATATCAACCTGTATGGGTTACTTAATGCCAAAATCTAAATATTTTGTACATAATTTTACATTTTCAAGGTAAATATGTTTTATATATATATATATATATATATATATATATATATATATATATATATATATATATATATATATATACATATATAGTTTGTAGATGATAAAATGTATTCTTGGTAAACTTTTGCTGTAAAAATGTATTCTCAGTCATTCTGCTATAAAAATGTATTGTTGGTCATTTTGCTATAAAACGTATTGTTGATTTTTGCTTGTCAGTTTACTATTTGCTCATAGCTGGGACCTTAACAGATGCTGCCACCCCAGATCAGGGTGAGCCTGAAAACAACAGCTGTTAAAAAGATGGTTCCACACTCCTCAAGACCTCCAATCTCCCAGTCAGAGGCTTTGCTGCCAGATGTAGTTTATCATCATATCCAGAATAAACCTTCAAAAGGTGTGAGAAAAATGATTTTATATGATGGTCAAGATCATAAAAGCTCATAGAATTAAAATGTTAATGAGCAAGAGTTAAATTTTCATGAAACTGACAAAGAAACTCAATGGAGTGTTGAAATTTCCTAGCTAGTGTATAAAATTAGTGATTTATCTGAGCTGACCAAAAGTAGAGTGCTCAGGTCAAAAAGGTAGCTGACAGAAGCAAATGAGTTCACTTCAATTGAAAACCATAACTAATACCTATTTACTCATATTTGGATGCAACAAAGTTCATCTCAAAATCTATTGCCATTATACTGAGAAACATTCTTTTTTTTTTTTCCTCATTTAAAAAAACAAAAAAAACATACAAAATAAGAAACTACAAATATCCCATTATTTTAGCCATTTGTAGACTATGCCAAATAATTATATACATTCAGACTAATGTTTTCATCCTTGTTGTTATCAAAACGTTTCAGTCATTGTTCCCTCTGGCCTACATCAAGTATCTGTTGATCTAGGTAACATTGAAGCAGTTTCAAACTAAAACCTTTATTTAATCTAGCAGGGGAAAGTAGATTGTTTTCATTTATCTATCTCATCATGTTCTTTTTAAGACTTTTTTGCAATCATTTCACCTCAAACAAGGTAATAAAGCCAATAAGATTATAAGAGGTTACTGAGTGTGAAAGAATGTTAGAGAGAATAAAAAAAAACAGGAATTAAGAATATAGAATATGACTGGCATTGCATAATAAATTTTTAAAAATCAAAGTTGGCTGGAAAGAAGCCAGAATAGAGTTTCATGAACAAAAACTGAGAGAAGAAACTGCTAGCATAGAATTTAGTTATACTAACCATTTCAACTGTAAAATGATGAGAACTTGCTGCCAATCTATAATGCCATGGATGTAATACCATGAGAGAGAAGAAAATGTTAGCATAGAACTTACAATTACATATAGCCATTTCAACTGTAAAATGATGAGACCTTGTTGTCTATCTAGTAGTGCGCTTAAATTCATAAAGTCTAGATACCAAAGAGGAAAGCTCATCAGAACAATTACCATGACAATATTTATAGAAAAGACACAGGGAAGCTATGTTACGGTGGTGGGAAAGTGACTGAAGTCAACATACCAGGTCAGGACCAATGACATTGCAGATTTTGGGGTTTTATCAAGAATTTCTAAATACATAGAAGCACCAGACCAGATGTGGCAACAATATACAATGCATGGACAAATTATAGACTTATGTTTAAAAGATAGATTCTGGCAAGAAAAATTATCTAGCCCGACACAGTGAACCAACTTTCCTAGCAGCAAACCTAGCAATTTATCCAATATAATCTTTTCACTTAATGTCAGTAAAAAACATTATCTAGAGAATGAGTCACTCTCCTGTAGTATTGCTCAATTATAGTTTCCAACATGTCTGAATTTGTATTACCCAACAGAGATTGAACTGAAAATTACAATGCCACCAAATTCACAAATCAAAGTATTCATCAACTAGACAATATATTGAACTTTAGATTACAAGGGCCACCAAGCAATCAGTAAGTTTGATAAGTGATGCTAATCAATTACAACAAACCTTAAATATATATCTCAGTTGGGATATTATTTACAGAGCAAAAGACAATGTGTAACAGGGCACTGGCCCATTTTAAATGTTTAATTGCATGAAATTACAGGATGGTGATTTGAAGAGACTACTAATTGGATAATAATTTTTAAAATTCTCAAGAGAGTAGGTTGAATGGTTGAAAAAAGAAAAAAAAAAAACAGATTAAAAAATTGTGTTTTAAAATAATAAAATGAATTTAAGAACAGTTCTGGGGAGAATTGAATGCAAAATTAACCAGCCAAGATTCAGTAAAATTGAGCAAAACCAAGATTCCCTAACCTAACCAGTTCCTGCCAATAGAAGACATGATTAATATGCTGTCCAAGTTTCTTTCATCCTGAGAAATTAAATTCAAAGGTTTGTTTACATTACACTGTCCAAAACATGTAGTCTTACAGAAAAGAATGATCCAAGACACCATTATCTTTACAGAAGGAAAGTTATCTAGGAAGAATCTAAACAAAGACAGTACTATATGGTTTTAACAAGGTCTCCTAAGATTAAAACAGTCAGGGTGGAAAAATAAGATATATCAATGCCAATTCCTTTTTACAGTTCTGATTCCTATATAAACAAAAAATGCCCAGGTCACCACTCAGAGATGGGCCCTAGAGGGAGCCAGCTTGGAGGTGCCTGTGATTGTTGGTAAGACAGTCATCACTAAGAGCATACCCACAATTCCCATGACCAGTGCAAAAACAGAGACAGTGAATCAGCCCAACAAGGAAAATTGCCAGAGATTTGCTCAGGTTCCATTTCCCATGGTCAAAACAAAAACATAGATATGTGCAGGACAGAAGAATTGAGTGAGAGTTGACTGGCTGGTTATTACTTTATTTGCAAATAGATTTCTCAAATCACCAACCTGCAGTAGAGAATTTGATTTTGGAACAGAGACATTTTATTCAACCATTTTTTTTTATTATTTATATTCAATAAACCTGTTATGAGTTATCAACAGTGTTGTGCATTTTATCATAGGAGTTCTTATTCCAGCCAGATTCAGAAGTTGCCCCTGGATGCAGCGAGACTAAAGTTACAACTATAATTTGAGAATTATTCATTCTTAACTACAGTACACAACGTACATAGATGAATCCATACTAGACTTCACTATCAATCCCCAATATTCTAAGATTTTAGGAAATCCAAATCAACCCTAGAGATGACACACCAGTCCCAACCAAGGAGGGAAAAGAAAGCCAGGTGACCCGTAAAGTCAGTATTACTCAACAAAGCTAGTGGCTGCAAAGGAAAAGAGGAGAGAGAACACAAAGAGAAAGAGAGTGGTGTGTGAGGAGAGACTGAGAGGGTGTAGGGTTACAAATATTACAAGGGCATATATTAAAAACATAGCTATTAAACTGAGCGAATAGTTCAAACAAAAAGCCAATGCTTATCAGAGTCTATGTCTAGACAAATCAAGATGCCTATCCCTTGGATCCCATTGTAGCCTTATAGAAAAAAAGAAAAAAACAGGGAATGATACTCTAATATCTATCTTCTGAACTATTCAAATAATTCTAACCAATACCTCTGAGTACAATTTGTTTATCATTATGCAATCTGATTCTCAATTCAAGCAACATGATTGCAATTTAAACATTTAGGTCAAGATATAGCATTCATCTTTGTCAAAGTATTTTATTGCATGCATTATCTTTTGTTTTGTTTATATATATATATATATATATATATATATATATATATATATAT